ACACTGGCCCTTCTCGGGGCCACGGACGTCGTCGCAGTTGCCGCCGAGATCTTTGCAGCCTTTCGCGATCGCGATTTGAGTCCGCTGCGCTTGGTGACGAGCGGCGAACGCCTCCAGCTCTACGTAGCCGTGACGTCGGCTTCGGTTTTCCCCGCGATCGCCGCCGCGCTCCTCGCATCGTCGGACCCGCAGCTCGTCTGCCTCTTCCTCGAGACGTACTTGACGCTGCAGTCGGACGTGGCACTTTCGACCGCCAGCACCTGGATCCACGGAACCTTGACCAAGTTTGGTTGGGAACGTCTGCTATCGCCATTGCTCTCGCTGCTCGATCGCTGGAGTCCGACGCACCTCGCACAAGCCTTTCAGCTCGTCGCCAGTCTTGCTGGCGTAGACCCGACGCCGGTCTGCGCCCGGCTTCACTCGCCCTTCCTCGGCGAGCTCGTGCGCGCTTGCTACGAGGCCTTGCACGCGCAGCTCACGCAGCGTCTGCGCGCACCGATCACAGCGTACGCAGAGGCGACGTCGCTGTTGACGCGGAGCCTCCTGCTGGAACAGTACGTTCACGTCACGAGGTTCGAGGTCGTGGCAGGGACTTGGCTCTACGACCGGCTACCGACGGCGCTGCTGCATGAGATTGCTGCATATGGCGCAACCGACGCGTGCACGATTGTGACGCTGGTGGCACAGCACCCGACGTCGTTTCCGCCGATCGCAGTCGTGGCACCGGCCGGGTGGGCCGTGCGCAACGTCAATCTCAATCTCGGGTCGCTTTTGCCCGATGTGGCGCGCAGCGGACCGCCCGCAGCGTTCGACAATGCCGCGTGGGGCAGCGTCCTGCTCGTGGACGTCATGACGGCTACGCTTTTGACCGCGCGATGCGACGCGGTGGGATGGAGTCCGGCCTTTCTTGAGGCGTGCTACGTCCACGCCGGCCTCGCGCTGCTGCCCGCGCTTGTCGCTGCGCTATCGACGCATCCATCGCTAAGCGCAGAGGCGACTGTCGTAGCGATCCTTCAGCGCGCGCCCGAGGTCCTTCGCAGCAACACACCGTCCGACACCATCGGGCACCTCGCGCGGTACTACGCACAGCACGGTCGACCACAAGTCACGCCGCAGCGTCCACCATCGATGAGCGACGTCCAGCTGTATCTGCTGCTGACGGTCCTCGAGGCAGTGACGTCGACGGACCAGATTGACATATTGGTGGCCGGTGTGCTGCACGAGCTGGACGGCGCGCCGTGGGCCATTCACGCGTCCCGTGCAGTGATCTACCGCCTCTTCGCATCGTTTTCGCATCTTCTGCCGCCGCCTGCCCGGCTTCGCCTTGTCAACGCGTGCTTGGAAAACCACGTCACCGCGCTTCTAGTGCCGAGACGGGGGCTGGCCATGGACGACCTCTACGTGGGGTGCGACTGCGTCGCGTGTACGAGGCTGCACCGTGAGCTCCTCACGTCCGACATGCGCTGCCTCCTCACCATGCAAGGAGTGGTCCCGCGCTGCCTACGTCAGCTTGTGCATGAGCACAGCGACCGTCTGGTTCTCGAGCACGAGTGTGCGACCGGCTACCGCGTCCGCAAGACGCCGCTGAGCTTGGTGCAAACGACCAATGGCCCCGACGGCGACCTGCGCCGCGTGATGGCGCTCCGAGAGTGGAAGACATTGACGCTGCAACCGCCGGTGAAGCGGCGCTGGTTCTGGCTCTTCTGACGACGGGCTGCATCGTTGGTCGACCAGAGATTGGAGTTTCTTCGAGTTGTGAGCACGAACCCGTCGTCCACTTATTGTTAGTTAATCAGTTATAAAGTGTTATGTAGTACTCGTCATGACGACTGGGTGATGCCGGGCTTATCGATATCTCCCATTGACAGGAAGATCTGCACGGCGCATCTCTTGCGGCGCCAAGGAGTGATTTGAAAGGTTTAGAAACGATATTAACTAACTGTTTACATGATCCAGCGCGAACGTTCGGCACCCACTTGGACGTCAATCGTGCCATTGGGATGCATCCCAAGCCGCCCGAACGCAGAGGCATGCAACTTGCTCACGGCAATGTCGGTGCGATGGTCGAGATACATTGCGTCCGACAAGCTAAGGCGGTAGGATGTGACGTTGTTGGGCGTATACGACAGCACGTAGCAGTCACTACCCCGGAAACTAAACGCGGCGTTGCGCTGCAGATGCTTGTGGGTCGTAAAGAGCTTGTAGATCGATCCGCCTCGGAACGTTCTCGGTACCTGCTGCGCTCGTCAACAGCAGCCGCAGCCAAACACAAGACCGAGCAAGAGTCGGTGCTTCCAGTCGTTGTAGCTCAAACGGGCAAACGCACCGCCATCAATCGCACGGACGATCAGCGAGGAGCGGGAGATGACGCGCGAGAGCCGCCGGCCGGATGTGTGGGCCATGGAGCTGATGCGACGGATCCACAAGCGACAAAGCACCTGACGTACGAGGCGTGTGAGCGCGGGCAATGCAAAGCTATAGACCAATGGAAACGCGCCGAGGACAATAGTGTACACAATAGCCGGCGGGATGTGTTCGACATAGTCCATCTCCTTGGATTGGGGTAAAAAGCACGTGTATAGCACGTGGTAGAGGTCGATAAAAAATGAGAGCCGAAGCTGATAGTACGTCAGCGGTCCCACAACGAGCGCGACGCCGATCGCGACGCCGGTCGGGTCGGCTTGGGCGCAATAGGACTCGAGCGCACACCGTCTTAGGACAAACCCACTGAGATTGAGCACGAGGTACCCAAACCAAACAGTCCGCGAGAGATACAAGGTTGAGATCGCGAATACCCACATGTCGGTGGTCTGGTCGATTCGGAAAATGCACTGGCCGACCGTCTCCAGACTGCACCAAAAATCCACGACAAAAAGAGCGCAAATCCACGTGTTTTGGAGAATGAAGCTCGTCGGATCTCCGACAATAATCTCCAAACGTTCGTGCTCGCCACATGCGCCGTATTGCCGCAGCCCCCTTGCGAGGGATCGGTAATGGACATAGTACGTCGTCCAGAGAAGGTACAGTATACGAAGCGTCATACCAAATCGAAAGCCAAACTTACAGTAGCGCCACACGGATGAGCCATGGTCGAGCTGGACCGCAAAGAAAACATTGTCATGTGTGTCGATCCAGAGGACACCGATCGAGGACGGGAACCCGAAAAGCGTACCTGGCTGGACGAGCGCAGTGCTCGAGGCATTTCGGGTGCCGAGGCTGGCGTCATGGACCCAGAGACGCGATCGTTTCGAGTAGAAAAAGGCGCCAGGAAGGGTCGCGTAGGTAAACGACGCCTCGGTCAAGTGCTGGAGTGGACCAGAGAGAACATCGACGGCCTAGAGATTGAGAAGACAAATGAGATACTAGCCTGGTGGTGGCACTGCGCAGTACATGGAGGCGAGGTTGAGTAGAAAGACGCTGGAGAAGAAGACAGAGACCTTGTTGAAGGTCACGATGCGCATGGAAACCAGAGACGCACTGGGCCCTGCATGGATCTGCATACCAACGGTGCTGCAAAGGAATCAGGTTGATTGTTGAATTTGAACTGGGCAATGAGAAACGATGTCGGCAACTAAAATAGAATGCGGTATCGCGCTTGATTGGATGAAAAGGTGATTTGTTGCTCGTCCATGGCTGATTGGGCGAACCAAAAGTATATACTAACTCGCCGAATGCACGTGGCCGCATCAAATTTTATCATTTTCTTGGCCTCACGTAGCACAAGAGACAAGACGAAGCGCAATACGGAGACCATTGATAGAAATCTCCTGGTTTACAGGACAAGCGATCTACATGTACTACGTGGGCGTTGTCTGTCCAAGCTCACAACGAGAGGCAAGAGTCTTGGGGCTAGGGTAGGGCATCAGAATGACGATATCTGCGATTTGCGGTACACACGAATCTGCACGAATCCAAGTCCTTTCTCCTGCAAGGAAGGAAAATCACACAGTACATGTGCAGATTGAAGAACTGTCCACGATGGTAGGAACGTTTACGTATTTTCTGGACAGCCCATTGGCTATAATTTAAGCCATTTTGGTCAATCAAACGCATATTCATAGGATCCAAGCCAATCGCATCGCGCGGAGCATGTCCGGTGAAGTGCGATTTTGGTGTCCCAGTTAAGTGCTGTTCTTGTTAGGACATTATACTTGATTTTGTATTAAGTACGACGCACGTATACGAGCACATGGCGTACATAAGGTATTTCCGCACCTAATCGCAATGTGGTTGAATTGCAGACGACGTTGGCCCGGAAAAGTCTGCGCAGCGCAGCGAAGGTCGAGTGTTGCCTTTGGTCTAGGCCAACGCTCTACGCAATACCGTTATCAACGCTTCGCATTCATTACAAAAGTCCCTACCAGCTCACCCCGCAAGGGACCTGTTTGGGTCAACGTAAAATCCCAACAAGTGCATGTTTGGAGCAGATACCCGATGACGCGCGAGCCTCCAACGTCGACTGCAGCCATTGAAACTGAGCGATTCTCCAACTCCTCAATTGTACTACATGACGTACACCATAGTCCTAAACGTACATGATGGCTGCCAGTGCAAGACGATCCGACAACGTGTCGAAGGCCGCCGAAAACCACGTGCCGCATTGGTGGCATATGCCATTGTTAAAAATAAAACAACATGTATTTTACACAACTGTTTTCTACGCGAGACCAGCACAATACTAACATCAAGCTTGAAACTTCAGATGCTGTATGTATCATTCAGGTTTAAAACACACCGTGCACTTGGCGCGGGCCATTGCCCTTTCTTGCCGATTCTTGTTCGACCATGCCACGGTGCGACGATGACATTGGCGGGTACTACAAGGACATCATGTACCTTCTCGAGTTCCCAAAGACGGCGTCCATGACACGCGTCTTCACGGCCAAGGACGAAGCGGCTATCCGCGCGCTGCCTGCCTGGGACCTCTCGCGCTACCACCAGCCACGCACCACGACCATCGTCGCCGCCGCCGACCTGGCGTTCGACACAACCGCCTTTGATACGTTTGTCAATACGACGCTTGTCAAGCGTGTCAAGACAGCGCTAGCACCCGAAGGTCCGTTCCACGCTGCGCTTGCCCACATTGCGTTCGACTCTGTCGGCGACGCGCAGTCGTTTGGGGCTGCGCACCGGCCACCGGGCACGTTTGGCACATTATACGTCGCGCTACCGCGTCATGTGCGTGGCGGTGAGGTCGAGTTCAGTCGCGGTTACGACCATAACAAGTGGCTGCAGCCTCGACGCGCAGATGCACCGCAGCACTCGTACGCTGCGTGCTACCGCAACTCGCACGTCACGGCGGCTGCCATCACCGAGGGCGACCGCGTCCTCCTCGTGTATAACCTCGTGTACACCGACTCGTCGGCGCACACCCGCGACTACCCTGCGTCCATTGACGAGGCTGCAACGCACCTTCGCAAGCTTGGCGCCAAGGACCATGGCATCTTTGAGGTACTGCAAGGCTGCCCTGTCCAGCAGGGCACCTCGTTCGAGACGCTCTCGGGGCTACCCAAAGACCTTTTGACCGCCTTGCTACGGTCCCGTGTCTATGATGTGGCACTGGCAACGCTCGTGCCCGACAATGACGCGTCTGTCGACAAGCTGCGCAGCCGCCTCCTTGACCTCGGTGTGCTCGCCAACATTCTCTTGCAGCACATTGAGCTGCACCCGGCGACAGGAGCGCCATCGGTGCTGCAAGACGCGTTGTGTGGCGTCGTCCTGCCAGAGTACACGTCGAGCATCAGCGACGAGTTCTCGCAAGAGCTCGGTGCGACACACGCGCTTATCTTTTGGCCAAAACAACGCCGGCTCGAGGTAGCCGGTCTCCACGGCACGATGCTGTGTCTCGAGCGCGCTCTCACGAACGACGGCACCACCCACAAGGAGCTCTTGGGCTACGAAGTACCGTCGCTCGTGGGCCATGCCTCGGATCTCATGCAAGGTATGGACGACGACACCTTCCACGCGGACTTGTACCAGCGCCTTCAAGCCATTGTCAACCCGTCGGCGACGGCGTTCTTCAACCGGTTTGCCGCTGTGCTCACAACGCTGGGGAATATCGACTTGATACTCGAGTTTGTCGCGAACTGTCTCAACATGGACCACGTCAGCACGACGCTGCCAGATGTTGCCAAGTGGCTGCACGGTCTTTGCGCGACGCATGGCTGGGAGCTGCTCTTCCAGTCGCTCGTTCGGCTCGTCGACCGGTGGAGCCAGCACCAAGCAACAATGGCGCCGATTCTTCATTTTATCGCATCGCTCGCGGGTGTCGACGGTGCGACGCCGGTGTGCCCGGCCCTCCACCAGCCATTTGCGATCGAGCTCATCAAGGGACTCTACCGCGCCGCGCGACTTGCGCTCGACCCCCACTACCACAACACACGGCTCGTCGTCCAGCATGAAGTTCTCGGTCTCTGCCTCGTTCTTGACGCGTATGTGGCAGCCAACGGCGTGTCGTCGCACTGGCTTCACGGGCGGTTGCCGCCTCTGGCGCTGGCAGCCATCGATGCGGCGCTCGACCCGGCCAAGTCGATGGCCCTTCGTCTGCTCGACGCTGCAGAGACAGACGGTGCAGCGCTCCTCACCACCGCAGCGCCTGCTTTGGCGTACAGTATGCGCCACCAACGACGTCTTCGCGTACCTTCACTCGCCATCGCCATTGCCGCCAAGCTCCACGACCCGTCGACGACTGTCGACATGCTTATGACGGACGAGTGGTCTTACTCCGACGCCGTGGTCATTGTCCAAAGCATTTTGACGATCGCACGGAGTGACGGTACGCTGACGCCACCTCTTCTCGAGCGCTGCCGCACCGTCTTTGGCGCATGCACCGTCCCGGCCATCCGTGCCATCCTCACTCAAGACGACGTGGACGAAGCGACGCGCGCGCTTTTGTTTCAGAGTGTGTTGCGCCCGATTCCACGCAACGATACAAACGACGCCAAGCACCTCAACGACTACTACCGCGACCACCCGCACCCGTCCGTCGCGCCGTCCCACGACAATGCGCGAGAAGTGGACGCTGGGTGGCGACTGGCGGTCGACACGCTCGAACTGATTGCCGAGCTCGATGCGAGCCAAATGCTGCCGTACGTCCGCTCGTGGAACGCCCAAGTGCTGTCACAAAAGCCGTGGATGTATGGCGGCTTCGTCGCCGACTGCCTTCTTCGCAACACGTTTTGGACCGACGAGGCATGGCTCTTGGTCGCCAACCTCTGCCTCAAGAACCTCACACCGCATTTTGCTGGGCGTCGGCTCCGCGATTTGCGTAAGGGCAAGGCGCATGTGGACTGCGACTGCGAGCTCGCGACGCAGCTCAACACGTTTCTCGCGTCCAAGCATGCGCTGGTCGAGGTCTTGCGCGCACCAGCACCCATGTGCACCGCTGTCCAAGCCTTCGTGGACGGCCCGCCAAAAACGTCGCTAGAGTTGACGTGGCACAACGACGACGACGACGACGCGGCCGAGCCCGTGACGATCACCATTGAGCGGCCGCACGACGACTTCTCGGACGACGAGGTCGACGCATACTCGTCGAAAACACTGGTCGAGCGCCTCCAAGCCATGAAGAAGAGCAAGACGACCCG